TCCATCTTTCTTCCAACTCAGGCTCAGCACAGATAGAAAGCAGGGAACACCTGCATCTTATAGATGCGTAAGCTTTTGTGAGGAACAGCTCACTTCCCAGATGCCAGGCAGCATTAGCCTTCCTCTAGATAAGGAAGTCCTCTCCACAACACCAGCTTCCAAAAGAATTTTGCAGCATTAAAGCCTGTACATTAAGTCAAAGCATTAGTCCAACCATTGAGTTAAAATCTTTATAAGTCTAAAACACAGAAGTTTGTTTCTTTAAAGTTATCTGAGTGAAATGAACCAATGCATTTTTCATCATCTTGAGAAGGTGACTGAAAAGCAGTTCATCTCAGATAAATTTTGAAGTCAGCAATTAAGATTACATATGCAAAGTACAGAAGAAATAAAGTAATTTTAGGTTTGTAAACTGAGTAGTAGAAATGTCAACAACTTCAAGAAGTAACTAAAATCTATTTTAAGCTGTAGCTATACTTTTAGTCTACGACGGCATACTTAATTTACAGCTAGAATAAGATTTGGCTACACGTTATGCAGGGTTAAGAACTTGAAAAGCTCCATTAATTATGCTGCTTAATATGTGCACTTCACCTATGAATTAAGGTGCTAGATCCCATGTAATGTGATTTTAGTACAGGCAACCCCCACTTAACGCAGTTTCACGTAGCGCTATATTGCTATAGCGCTCATTTAAAATTAATACCTGATTTCACTTAGCGCTGAGCCACTTGCAAAGCAGCAGTGGTGACAAGAAGTGATGAGTGGTAGCGAGTGGGCGAGCGGGAATGATCATGGTGCCTGCACTGCTGCCGCAGGGCCAGGGCCGGCAGCGGCCCCCAGCAGGACAGCAGGAGCAGGGGCCCAGGCTAGTGCACACTGCCAGACTGGCTGATGGACAGAGGGAAGCGGCAGCAGCGAGTGGGGTGGGGGGCAGGTATGAGTGTGAGGCCTCCGCCAGTGCCCAGGGCCAGGGCTGGCAGGGGCCCAGGGTGGAGCGGCAGAAGTGCGGGGCTGACACGTGGGGCCGGAGAGGCCAACAGGCAGGCAGAGAGAGGTGGGAAGAGGCGGCAATGGAAAGAAGCTGCAGCAAGAAGTGGTGGTAACTAATTATCTCCGTTTACATTAATTCCTATGGGGAAATGGGTTTCACTTAGCATGGTTCTGCTAACGCTCGGTTTTTCCGGAACCAATTAAGCGCGTTAAGCGGGGGTTGCCTGTACTAACTATATCAAATGAGGATTTTCCATCCCAAAAGACTAGAATCAATTCTGAGTGCCATCTTGTAGAAAGAGTGAGGATTAATGGGAGTGAAATGTAGCAACATTATTGATCACTTTTCACGTCCAAAACAGTACCTTTACCTTGCATGTTTCAAGTCACAGAGGACAGTGAAATTACAAGCCCCGGTGTTGATTGAAAGGTCTTTGGTTGCACAACAGAGAATGTTATCCATAAAATTCTCTATAGAGCCCATAAAGGTTGTACGTTCACCTAGCAATAGCCCACTTGTAAGATCTCTGTTAGATGCATAATGTAAAGCCCCAAACACATGAACAGATACCATGAAAGCCAGGTTGGCCTCATTCAGGAAGTCATACAACACTTCACAGAAAAAATAGGAAGTTGTTGATAAACTACTCGGCAGAACAGCTTCCTACAGGAGAAACCAAGACAGCTGGGGTGAACAGTAACCGCTTCCTCATACTAGAAAAGACAACAGACTACTGTATCTTTTTTGCAAGAATTGCATGTACTGTGTTATACAAGTTAAAGTGATATAAATATTGATTATAAAATACATGCATCACATGTATAACATACGGATCTTCCCTTTTCCAAGTGGCTGATCCTGAACTACCATATAGTTTCTCTAGCGCACAGAATGATTTCATAGATCTTTTTTCCACAGTTACTTGAAATGTCAGTTTATAGCCGGATAACTGGAAGTGGTTCAAAATCAATGAAGATGACATCTCCACACTGACCAATACTGCTATCTTTATTGTAAGTTTAAGAACCGTCTAAGTTCTTGTGTACAATAGCATGAAGCTGACTAAATTCCACCTCCTGACTAACCAGACTAGACTTTTTTTTATTATTATAACGGCTGAGTTCCGGTTACAATTTCACTGAAGTTAGCAACTTTTAACAAAGTAGGGAATTCTACTAGCCGTAACAGGAATATATTACACTGAAGAAAAGACACATTCATAAAAACTCCTAGTTTTGAGAGTACTATGAATATTAACTCATTAATATTGATGAAACACTGGCAAATCAAGTATTGGTCAGAAATTTAAACTTGTCGATATATATAGATTTATCATGCTGAAACGAGACTATTACAAGTCTGTCTAGATAGAAAAAACTGGTTCACCCAGAATGCTATTTAGTGGTATTATATTAATGTGTGGTCAAACAAGACATTTGGCTGCTTCCAACTTTTTCTCACCTGCCTCTCCACCGTGATAGCTGTTGTATTTGTAGTTCTTGATTCCCCTGTGGAAATTTCCGTACTGGATTTAACTGGCTATAGTGCAGAGTACTGTGATAACCAGCATCATAGGGAAAAGTGATAATTGGAAAGATCTTCACAACTGGAAAAAACACACCTAATATTTTCACCTATTCTTTACAAAGGTATTTCTTGAAACGCCTGGTCTTGTCTGGTCTCTAGGAGTTTCTACTGAATGAGGAAATGGAAACAAAAAGCACCACTGCCAATCCAACGAAGAAGCTAAATACTTGGATGTGGAGCAAAAACCATGCAGAAGGAACCAGTTTTTTAGAAGCAAAATGTGCTCAGCAGCAAAAATCTAAATATTTACTTCATTAAAATTAAGCTCTCTCAAAACAAAAAAAGCATATATGTGCTAAACACACATTTTATTTTTAATCATAGGAAGCAACAGTTTTAAGCAACTTCTGAAATACAGAACTGCTTTTGTTAAAAGAAATTCTTTACAAGCTCTTGGCGCTTTCCAAATGTAGGAAGCAGTTATAAAGTTAATAGAAATACTTCTGAACTGCAACAAGGCTAGCAGATTCCACTTGTAGATGGTATTCTAGGCTCTACTAGGGGGAGGGGAGGGAAGTAGTTCTTCTAAGCGTGAACAGAGCCTTCAAAACTGTCCTCAGACTCTCCCAAACCACAGCATCACCCAAGGAAAGCAAAAAGAAAACAGCCTATTAAGCGGTTTAAGATCTCCCAAGGTCAGCATGTGACCCAGCAGGGAGAGGTTCAAAAAGTACAGCCTTTATTTTTCTTCCTAACAACCTGGTTTGTTTCCACTCTTTTCCCCTTCAAGATGCATCCTTCACAGCTAGCAGCTCTTTCAATCATTTACTTTGGATGTCTGCTTGAGAACAAACGATCTTGCTCATGCAGATGAGTTTGCCAGACTTGTGTGTACTTTCCAGTCTCAGGCTCTTTATTGTTCTTGCTGAAACCTGACTCTTTGAAATGGATACCAAGACACCAAGACAGACAAAAAAGAAAACTTGCAGGAAAAAAAGGAAGATTTTCTGTAATAATAGCGAAACTGTAGAAAAGCTTTCCAAGATCAAATCCTTCCCTCTGCTTTCACCTAAATGAGCATAATTAAAGAATCAATTATAGGAGTGCAAGGATTTCTTTTCGTCTACCACAACAACTGTAATGCTCCCTCTATAAAGTTTAAAGCATCGATGTAAATGCAAATAATAATTAGCACTACAGATAAGAGCAATTTTTTAAAATACCATCTTTGCCATGTTCTATTTAAGCTAGTTAAGAGTATAACGAGCATAATATACAAGTTTTGGAATGATATGAAAACTGTTTTGCTCTTCAAGGTCCAGTGGGTCACATTCTCAGCTGGCATAAAACTGCCTAATTCTAACAGTGAAATTAGGCAAAATATTTCATAAGAACAAACTCTGTGCTTCATAGGAAACAATGGTAAATCTTCAAGGGGGCTTCCATGGGCATTGAATTAGGTCCCTATTTCATTCTGAGCTTTAGTGCAGTTAACATGGAAAGCATGTTCCTACCACAGACATTAAGGTCTTCTGTGAATATAATTTCAGGTTTGGATATTTTATTTCAGCAAATGGGACTACAAAAAAGTTTAGAACACTTTTTAGACTAGCAAGGTAGTAGGAATATATTTTTTTTTTAATGCAAATTTGAAGTGACAAATAATATGTTACTTGAAACCTAGTGATTGAACGAGAGTTGTGTGCACACCTCCAAAAAGGAGGACAGGCTTCTGCTGTTTTAGAAAACACCACAGAGCATCTCCTGATGGATGACATGTCAAAGTGCTGGCATGTGTAACCTCTTCAGCAAGAGAAAAAGTTTAATATATTAATTTCACTACTTTAAAAAGCCAAAGTAGCGAAAACAAGAAACATTTTTAAGAGTTCCAACATTCACCTCTCTCTCCAAAGTTAGTTTTAAGAACTACAGGCCCCATCAGGTTCATGTACCAATAAGACTTCATAGGAACCTGACACTGTACTTCCAAAAAAAGAAAAAAAAAAAAGTAAATCAGCAGTCACCCAGTATTCTCACTGCAATACTGCTGAAAGTTTCTTAATCTTTGATACCCATTTTCAGCAATTTGCATGCTACTTTCCAAATACTGACCCAAAGAACACCTTTGAATGACCTTGCTTTATTGTACTCCAAGTATTAATTTAAAGTTACTATATGTTACAACAGACTTAAAAATACGCCCAAAAATAACTAATCCAAGGTGAGACATGCCAAGAATGAGGCATGTTTCTCACAGCTAGGCATAACTTTCAGGGTTCAACATCTACACCCCCAGTTCGAGTCAGACAAAGAGTTATACTACTAAAAATCATGATCCATAGTTTTTAAATATATTTTATATATTACCTGAATGCTACTGAAGGAGCACAAATTCTTATATACACAAAGGTTCTTAAACATGCAAAGGGAGCTTTGCTAAAAAATGTAACCTTGTTTTTTATAACTCTATTTTACTTACTTCAGAAAGTATCTCTGGCCAGATGGTGTCTTAGCCATTTCCCAACCTGGTGGCAGAGGAACATCATCAGGGATCTCAAATGAGGACTGACGAAGATGTTGAGAAGATGAGGCAGGTCCAGGACCAGTCACTACTCCAGAGGGGGTAAGGGTCCCCGGAGAGACAGCTCCCAGCTGCAGCGAAGCTGGAGACGAATGAGCTCGGACATGCTGAGGAGTCAAGGCTCCGGCTGAACCTGCATCAGTGCTGGCCTGTCGGGAGTAAACAGTTCCCATTAAGACACTTCAGCAGGAACACACCTACTTCGACTTCAGTGAACTGTCTGAGAGAGACCCAGGTATATTAAGTTGTTTTCAAACTTTCGACTTGTTTCAATGCTGTTAGCACGTCGCTTAAAGCAAGTTAAACAAAGTCAAAGCAAGCTTTAAGCTGTTGCCAGGACATAGGGAATAAAAGTTATCAACCTTTCTTGTCCACTTTTTTTTGGTGGTGGTGTTGTTGTAAACTTTGAACGCACAAACAAAAAGCCTTACAGTTTTCTGAGCAGGATCCCATCTCCCCCGCTGTCATGCCTGATGCACCACTGCCCTGAGCGTTGCATCATGGTTCCCAACAGAGCGTAAACGACCATTTTGATTTGGTAGCATTTGACACGCATCTTGCAAGGAGCAAAACCAAAAAAATAAAAAGTGAGCCATGCCCCTGGTTCCTTATAGGTGTCACGGGGCTGAAATCCCCGTCCACTTGAAATCTAGTCCCCACCTTGCCACAAAGGGACCAGGAAGGCTACCGCTGCCAGCGTGGGCAGAAAAATCAAAACCTCCAAAACTTCTGGTGTGTGCGCGCAAGCAGGAAGACCCTGGCTACCCTGGCGCAGGAGGGGTGCCCTCTTCCCCTGGAGGCGGCACGGGCAACCCCTGGCACAGCTGCGACAGCGGGGCTGGGACATGGCACCGGGCCACGTCCCAGCCTGGCCCCGCTCCCACGGCCGGGCTCGCAGGGCGCCTCCTCCCCCGCGCTGCTTCAACCCGGGCGCGCCC